TTATAGTGCGTCTAATAATACGGCCAGGAAATTTAGTATCGTAGTTGCATTTTATGAAAAAGAGGGTAATATTGACGCTGTATAGCTGTATAATATGCTGACAATGCAGCTGTATAGTATCACCTGATAATTATAATTTTTCATAGAATCTTATAGTGCGTCTAATAATACGGCCAGGAAATTTAGTATCGTAGTTGCATTTTATGAAAAAGAGGGTAATATTGACGCTGTATAGCTGTATAATATGCTGACAATGCAGCTGTATAGTATCACCTGATAATTATAATTTTTCATAGAATCTTATAGTGCGTCTAATAATACGGCCAGGAAATTTAGTATCGTAGTTGCATTTTATGAAAAAGAGGGTAATATTGACGCTGTATAGCTGTATAATATGCTGACAATGCAGCTGTATAGTATCACCTGATAATTATAATTTTTCATAGAATCTTATAGTGCGTCTAATAATATGACCAGGGTAGTATCGTAGTTGCATTTTATGAAAAATAGGATAATATTGACGGTAATTTGTTCGAGTTACTATTTTGCTAGTGACAATAAAAACGTTGCTTTTGACATTCAATGAAACGTTACTTCTGTATACATTTAAACATTACCGAATTATCGCACAAAAAAAATAAGGCTATGACGCTATCATTTCTTAAAGTTTCATTCAGAAATTGATCATCAAATCAATTGGTCAGAGATTTTTCAGTCAAACCCCGCTATAGTGAACAGGATTTATAGTGAACTCCCGGATAAAGTGAATGAAATGTTTGCAACCATGCTTTACGATACACGTATAATATTATTTTTTGCTGATATAGTGAACCATAAAAGAGAGGAAATTGGATATTATGAATTTTTTTTACTGTTTTCGACTCATTTTTCATTCATTTTATAGTAATTTTGAAATTTCTACGAAAAAAACATTTACCGATTTTTAAAACCATCAATTATGTAGAATGTAGCCATAAGCATTTTTCTTCTTTTCTTCTTCTACCTCAGTTTTCCATCCCTAAATTTTTTGCACGCAAGACAAGGAATAATAAAAAATAAAAGTTAACACATTTTTTGTTACTACATTATACCTTAATATTATGGGTCAATATTAAGGTAAGATATCGGGCTATGTGTTAATTCAGAATATTGTCTTCGAATTTCTTCATTTTAACGCTATTCAACACGCTATTGTATATATATACATACATAGTAAACTATAGGGCCTCATTGTGTACCTCCTAATAAGCCAATGATTATTTCCTCTGGTATAGTACACTAGTATCCGGTAATATAATACGTGATCCAATATAAATATTATGCGTCAATATTAATTTAGATATTAGACTATGTGTCAATACCGAATAACGACTTCGAATTTCCTCATTTTAAAGCTATTTAACACGCTTATATATATACATACATAGTAACCTATATAGCCATATTGTGTACCCCGTATTAGGCCTATAATTATTTCCTCTGGTAGGGTACACTAGTATCTGGTAATATAGTACGTGGTCTAATATAAATATTATGGGTCAATATTAAGGTCTGATATCGGGCCTTGTATTAACGCAGAATTTTTATATCAGTTTTGTATTTCTTTTTATTGGTCATTTATTTAAATAATGTGTATTAAAAGGGAGCAGTTCAGACAAATTAGTTAAAATTGTTTACAGTATGGATATAGTGAACTCCCGGTTATAGTGAACCGAAATTTTGGTTCCATGAGGGTTTGACTGTAGTAATGAACAATACCGAAAGCAAACTCACCACAGCTCTTTCGATTATTACTATTTTGTTTGCGACAGTTTCTTTAAAAAATTTTAAAAAAAATAAAATAGATAAGTAAAATGCGTCTAAACGTTACCGACTATGTTACCGAAATGCTATGATTTTAGTTTTTTTTAAATCAATTTTGTATTTCTTTTTATTGGTCATTTATTTAAATAACATGTAACAGAAGGGAGCAGTTCGGACAAATTAGTTAAAATTGTTTGCAGTACGAATACAGTGAACTCCCGGTTATAGTGAGCCGAAATTTCGGTCCCATGAAGGTTCACTATAGCGTGGTTTGACTGTAGTTGCTCTTTCTGAGAAATGAATAATACCAAAAGCAAACTCACCACATTTCTTTCAATTATTATTATTTTGTTTGTGACAGTTGCTTTAAAAAATTTTTTAAAAAATATGATAGATAAGTGAAATATGTTTAAACGTTACCGACTTAGCAATTATATAAATGTTATGATTTTAGTTTTTTCTTAAAGTTGAGTTCAGAAATCACTTGTCAAATTGAACTATGTTGTGAAGTGAAAATTATAATAGTTTCAATTGTGATACGCAAACAATATGGAAAGAGATTTTCCATTAATTTGCGTTTTTACCGTTTATTAACGTTTACTATAATTAAAAATAAGCTCACCAGGAATAACCAGATTACTCTAGTAGAAATGAATTAAGTGTGTTGCTTTTGTAAAACTTAAACATCGTTATAATTACAAATACGGGTCATTTTCAGAACATTGGCACATAGACTGTCTTTTGATTTTAAGTAATTTTAATTACTGATATTAAACAGTTAATCGTTTATTAATGACAGTTGAAAGATTTAATTGCATTTTTTCCAATAAATTAATATTTTCTTATGCTTTAATGTGATCCAATTATTAAACAATAAATAAACGTTTTAATTTAACCTTTTTTGAACGTTTAATTCGAAAATGAATTGATATTGAGCAGACACTAAATAGCAGCCATATTTTTATAAGAAATGATCAATACAAAAAAGAAATCTTTTGATTTTTTTAAACCATTTTTTCAAGAACAGTGAAAAAGCATATTTTTTTTTTATTTCTTGTTATTCGTTTAAAGGTTACCAAACTATCGAAGAATAAATAAACGTTGATTTATAAACTGTTTCGAACGTTTAATTCAGAAATCTTGTAATTCCCCTATAACTGAATAACTGAATTAATTGATTACTATGTATAAAGCTAATGGACATATTTTTACTTAATTATAGTCTGTAATGAAATAAAGACTTTTCATTAACCATGTTTAAAATTGAGCAAAACATGTGCCTTAGTAGATGATAAATATTAATATAAATTCCACGCAGGCGACAAATATTATTTTAATCCACCAAGGAATAAATCAAAGTAAATTGTTTACTATACTTAAAAATAAGCTCACGATGAATAACCAGGTTACTCTAATAGAAATGAATTACATGTGCGGCTTTTGTAAAACTTAAATATCGTTATAATGACAAATATGGATCATTTTCAAATATGGGTCATTTTCAAAACATTGGTATTTTGGCTGTCTCTTGATTCCAAATTGATTGATTGAAAATTCCAAATAACATTTTTAGGCACTCAAATTAAATAACTGTATTCTTAGTAATTGAATATAGAAAAAATTATGGTCAAAACTACCAGAATGTGGTAAAATTTAAGGTTGTTAAGGGTTTTAGGGAAATTAGCAATAAAATATGCTTTAATAATTTCTGGTAATATTTGTCATCATAGAACCTTAGAACATGAAATAAGAACCACTTCTAAAACCATTTTATTATTATAAAAAAGGTTTGAATTTTTCACTAAATGCATGGTAATAAGAACTATTATTTTGTAAACCAGACCAAAAAATAATATTATTAAAATACAGTGTATTTTAATGCTTACATATTAACTACAACTTTAAACATATAACTTTAATATTATCCGGTATTAAGTTACGGAAAAGTTACCAAATGGTATCTTCTCCGTAAATTCTCCACACGCTACAATTTTATAATGAGTATTATTTCATTATTTTGTTCCTAATTTTACCAAAAATCAATTCCAAAGAGCCTTGGTAAAAATTACCGAGATTTTTGGTTTTCTCAACCGTTACACTGTTAATTTTACCATTTCCTTGTACTTTTTTCTCATTGTGCGAATCAAACAAAATGTTTTTAATCAATATATTTATGGGACTATTGACGAAATTTGAATGTTGCAAAATTACTTTTATTTGCTGGAACTTAGAAGAGAGAGTAAAAGAAATTTAAATGCAAACATAGTTTAAAGTATCAGCTTTAAATAATTTCATCAAAATGAAAAGATCTTATAAAATACAATTATTCTAGTGAATTCCCTAACCCGAAATTATACTCGACACTTTTTCAAAATAGGTGCACATCTAATTGCGTTGAAAGTTAAAACGTCAATTTCACTGGTTTCACAATCTAATGGCAATTTTACTGCTTGTATTTTTAACTATATCATTGCATACCAGCCAATAATACGAGCCATGCATTAATTAAAGGTGAAACAATTGATATCCTTCTTTTTTTGTTCTAAAACTAGTTTATTAGCAGTTTTCTCATTACTCATATGACTATTCGTTTGCATTTAAGTGATTCCAACTCAAAACTACTTTTTTTTAAAGTAAATAAGTATAATTAGTGGCAAAGCATTTTCGAGAAGAAAGAAATTTAAGAAGAAATTGCACATAGAAAGAAGTGTGAAAAAAATTATTCCAAATACAAAATATTTCAATCACTGTTATAATTATTATGCTTTTAATTATTACAGCTCTAAGAGAAAATGAGCCATGTTCCTTTTTTTTCAAAGATATCTTTGCCCCAAATAATTTTAAATTTAAATAGCAGCATAATTTGTTTCTAAAACCTTAATGCCTAGACTATCTAAAAAGACATTGCAGCTTCATGTATTTTTTTAAACACCAAAAATCATCTGCATTGATTCCAATACCTATAAGTTTTGAGCGTAACTATAAGTAAATTTGCCTGTTTTTATTTTTAAAGTAAAAATTACTAGAAATGAGCCGGAATGATTTTGTAACTTACATATTGTAACAGTATTACATACTATGCATATTTACATATATTACCTATTTGTGTGTAATAGTATTACATACTATTACATATTGTAACTATTACAAATATTCATAACTACATATCTCTTATGTTTCCTAATTTATATTTTCAGGTTTTTAATGGCCAATTCCATGATATTAAGGTGTCAAGTTGGTCATTAGATAAAATACAAGGAAAATACATCGACCTGATTCCATACATGAAAAGAAAACTGTAAATACCAATAGGCATTCCATGTGACCTCTTTTACCGAAGGACGTCCCTAATCTCCGAACAATTCATCGGACACTACATAGAACACTATGAATGCGAAATGGAATAAAATTGGTCACGTTTTTCTTTTTGGAAAAGAAGACCAAACACAACGCCCAAAAGAACACGAAGACGTTTGGCATTATTTTTCTAGGGTCATCGTAATTTTTGTAGGTGTTTGCATTTCATATATCGGTATAAAGTTTATGAGGGATTTATGCTATTATTAGAGTCAATCAGAAGTATTACGACTTATAAAATGCTTAGAGATCACGTTTATATCTTTCATTAAATTGGCAGGTGTTTTAAGGAAAATGTTTTTTTCTTACTTAAGAAAATAGCAAGTTACCCTTTGTTTCTTATTTTTAATATAGATACTTTTTATTTTAATACTCTATGAACATTACGGTATCTTATACAAATAAGGGCGTGGAATTATATAGACTATTTGACAAAGTAAATGTAAAGCATTTGGTCTTTTATTACTGTCTGCTTTAAATATGTGACTCAAAAGTTTGCGATTTATATTATCTAAAACAGAATTAATCACTAAATTGATATGAGTTTCGCAATAAAGAGTCTATTGAAAATCAGGCACTTTGAAGGCACCAACGTCAATTTTAAATGACAGGCTACAAAATTTTCTAGTATTATAATCAGTCTAATAATTTTTAAGCTCTTTGCATTGATGCTTAATTTCAGTCCAATTAAAAAATGTATCGTCCATTGCTCAATTAGCCTCATTTATTTTAAGTTGTTTGCCATGAGTTTTGCAAGGTCATTGCGAAACGCCAGAGACTGTAATTTTGATCCAGAGACTGTTAATTGTAATTCGACTGCCAGAGGCCAATACTGTAATTTTTACCTATTTTTCTTTCATAATTTATAGATTTAAATGCATAAAGAAACAGAGATTGGACAGAGTTATAGCAAATATATAAAGGTATAGAAAATATATAGACGGATAGATATTATTTTTTTAAAAAATGCTCAACATAGAACTACTTACTAAATTTACACTAAATTTTTAAAAATGTATGGATATACAATGGTAAGATATATTCCCTGATCTGGATATAAAAAATATTAACTTTTTTGTACAAACAAAACCTTGGCAAATTCGTTAGGAAATGATAAAACTCTTGCTTTTATCAATTTCAGCTTTCAAAACTATATATTTAATATATAAATATTTAATAAATAAATATTTAATAAATAAATATAATGATGCGTTTTTTGATAACTCCCAAAAAAATTTCATTTTAATTTTTAATGAAATTTTATCGCAAAATTTGTTTTTTGGATTCGTATCCACATATGATAGGAATGCAATAAATAGTCAAGGTGACAAGATACGCCATATTCATTGCGGAATTTTTCCATCAACACTTTTTTCATTTTTTGTTTATGCAATGCAATGTTTATTTTTGTAAAACAATATAATAATGTTTTAAAAGTTATTAAAATGTTATTAAGAGAAAAGTTACTAGTAGAAAATTGGCAACATATATTAACACTCTTGTGTCTCAAAAAATATGAATTTTATTTCAGACATCGCAGAAAATACCATACAGTGACACTTTTTTTTTAAATACATTCTTGTAAATGTTTTATTTTGATTAACAAAGAAACTTATGTGGTATCTTAACAGGGTCAAATCAGAAATATTTTAAAAATAGTTTTAAAATGGCTGCAGAACAGTGGACTTTTTTATGTTTACAAAACTAAATATAAAGATTTGTAATACTTTTTTTGAGATGTCTCAGTTGCTAACTTTTAAATCATTTGTAACTTATCTGAAGCGCAATTTAGACATCTCGTGCTGTATTAGTAGCAGTTCTAAAAAGTTGCATAACAGAATACATATTACTAAAACTATCTCACAAGCCATAATTATAAGATTTTGTTTTAAAAGAAAACCTTCACATTTTAAAAATAGTTAAAAAAAATAAATGAACTATTTTTTACTAAAAAGTATAGATATGTATAAACACAGAAAACTCAAAATATCTTAAAATAAGCTGAAATAAATATAAAATGTAAAAAAAATATTTTAAAAGACGTCTTAATAACTATTCGTACAGCTTGAAATAAATAAATTGTTAGCACTACGATGTATTTAGGAAGCATTATTTAAAGCCATACATATTTAAAATAAATTCAATAAGGGCTGTGAATTATAACAGCTGTCATTTGTTATTTATTTTAATAGTAATTATGCTCCGTTACAAAGGTTAATTTGAACATATTTTATCATTTTAATTATTCTACAAGATGTAATATTTTTTTATTTTGTTAAAGTGTTTAGCTACCGGCAAATACCAAGTGCGTTAGACGCTCTATTAAATTATGCTGCCGAGTAGCTGGTGAGTCTTACCGTATAAAGCAAATTACATCATCGAACATACCGTTTCTTACGTTAAGATTGTCCTATAAAGCTTGTAAGAATTTAGGAAAAATTAAGTTTTAATAACTTTTTGTAAACTAACATTTGATTTGTGATCAAAAGGTTTAATACTTTATTTATAAAATAAAAAGATATTAAATAAAATTTTAATAAAGTAATGACTATATTCTATAATTTCTTCTACGAAATTATGTGTTCAATTCTAATAAAAATATAATAAGTTAAATTTAGTTCCATTATCGCACTAATTTTTAGAACACAAAAAAATAAAACTACGTGATTAGGCTATTTATATTCTCCTTAATCACGTTTACTATCTAGTAGAAAATATACCTTACCACACGAACACATAAAATTTATTGTTACAAGTTTTTTTATTTAAAATTCTGCTTTATCACTATCACTTACAGATACATTAAAAATTTATAACCTGTTAATATTTTGTATAACTTAAAGTTTTATAAATGTTTTTGAAAAAAGAGCTTCTCAGAACGAGAAACTTATTTAAAAATTCTTTTATAACAAAGATGTGCAAAATTGAAGCCTATTTAAAAATAAACACTGTTTTAATATAATTTATTTTTGTCTCTAGTTTTGTTAAACTTTCAAATTGATTTTGAAAGTAATCTTGGGAATTATTTGTAATACGAAAGTGAACATGGTTAAAAGACATTTATGGATAAGAAAAAAAACGGAGAGGAGAGTTTGTGCATAAATAAATAAAAAAAATTTATATTATTTAAAAAAATTAAAAAACTAGTTTTCCTTCTTCTTATGTAAGTACTCTATTAAAAAATATTTATTAAAAAATAACTAGAAATTTCTTTTTGCAAAGAATTCGACCTTTCGTTTACAAATAGTTTTACATAGCATATCTTAAAAAACGAATTTAATTTTCAAAAATGTGAAACAATTTACTTTTTAAAAAAATTACTTAGAGAAGTAGAGTAGAAAAAAGTTGTCAATATTTTGATTTTGAGTGTGTTACTAAAATATTTAAGCTCATATAAAAAGTTACATTTGAGCATTATTTACACAAAAACAGTTTAATAACTAAATCAAAGCAACTTTACAAGTATAGGGGAGAAGGAGGTCTCTTTAAACATCTTATATTTTATCATTGAATTTATTAAAATCGTTGAGATGAAGGAGTTGAATAAATATGTATACTCGGTTTAAGAGTAAAATACACCGATTCTTGTGTATAAAATATTATTATATTCGCAAATGATGGAATTTTTACAACAATTGTAAAATAATATTTTTAGTATTAATCAAAATCTAATAGCAAAATATAGTCTCTTTACGGTAGTATTTGTATTACAATACATTTAAAATCGCTTGGGATCTTATGGACATAACAGTTTTAGGTTTAAATTATTATTAGCCAAGTAATAAATAACATTTTTACGAAATTCTTCCCTCAAAATCAATGCACTAAATTCAATTTTAATACTTAAATCCGTTACAGTTAGGTTATGTTTTTTGTTCCTAAAATTAATTTTCCTTTGAATATAGGTAATACTACTACAATAAATAACCAATCTCTGCTTACTAAATATATTTCCAGAAATCAATTGTATTTTTATGCTACTACATTTTCACTGAGATGCTTTGCTCGGAAAATTACGTTTTGTTTTTGCTATAGTTTCGTACTCAATAGTATTCATTTCGACAATAATAAGTTAAAATATTCGAATAATTAATCGCAATTCATTTATTAAATAAAAATTCGAATGTGAAAATGCATTTTAAATAAAATATTCATTTATTTTACTTTAGTCTCAACTTTTATATGAAAACTCTGTAACATTGTATATCAACGCATATGATGTAACATTAAAATAAAAAATCGAAATCAAATTAATATGTGCTTTCAGAAATAGTTGCAATGTATTATATTACATTTACTAGAATCAGTTATATTTTTTGAGTGCATAAAGGAGTCCAAGTTTATATCATTTAAAATATGATGACAATGATTTTTTATGGATAAAATATTATTCTTATGACACTTTTGTGAAAAGTATTTTTTTAAGAATAATCAAAGCAAATTTACTAAATATATTTTCAAGTTCTTATGTGTCGTAGATTTGAAAAAGTACCTTTCTGAGCATGTAAAAAATATTACCTATGAGTAGAATACAATAAAATGAAATATTTTCAGTCAAATTAATTTTTCTTTACTTATAAAAGAATATTTTTCGATATTTATATAATAATAATTTTTAGTAAATAATCAAAAATAATTAACTAAATAGATTGAGCTGTTACACAGCATCGTGGTTATCATCGTTTAAAATATTTTAGTTCACCTGGAAAGATTTGTGTATAAATAAGCACTAAGTTGAATTACTTTGAATAATAACAATTTATACTACCGTCATGTGGGGCTACTTTGTGCAGGATTTCGCAGTTTTTGAACTTTGAAATATAAAAAAAACTATGTTAATTCAAACTTTAGTAAAATTTATCGATATTATATTCATAACTGAACTCAGACGAGTGAATTTGATCAATATTGGCATTATTTGTATGTAATATTTACAAATAATAAGTCAAAACATACCTTGCGCAAAGTAGCCCCCAAATGAGGCTACTTTGTGCAGCGATAGGAATTCAGTTCAATAATCATGTTTTTAGTAAATTATTGATATAAAATTGTTAAAAAAGTTAATTGTTGACATTTTTAATAACAAAAACATCAAGATATGTAAAGATATTAGTTTGAAAATAATTTTCAGCATTAAAAAAACATTTTTTATAAAGAATTTTTTCTTAAAAAGAATGTTTATTTCAAGACATTTGAAGCTTAAACAAAAGGAAACCATTTACATTTTTGAAGATTGAAATGGATGAAATTTCAAAAATAATAATTATTACATATTCATTAACATTTTTAATATTGATAAATTTGAACATAACATGATTGAATGAACATGACAGAACTTGCTCTTCAGTTTCTATCAAAATCATCTGATGTCCTATAAAATATATTTTTATTTGTTAAATCGTTTGATTAATTCATTAGAAAAATCTTTGTAGAAGAAAAATAATAGTTTTCCAGCACGTTTCACGTGTTTCTTGTGAATTTTATTAAAGATAGTATTTCTGTGGATTTTGTATTTCCGAGAAGCTTCTGCAATCGACATACCACCAGCAACTGCTTGCAAACATTGTTGCAGCTTTTCTAAAGTGTAATCACGGTAGTTTCTCGTTCAAGATATTTTTTTATAACATCTGACAATTTTTCTGTCGAAAAAAAAAACGAATGAAATTTTGCACAAAGTAGCCCCACAGTGCATTTTTTTTTTTCATTTTCCGTTTATTTGTTATTAATTTTCACATTTTTTTAACGCTAACATGACATAATTGTTTATTAATATATAATTAAAAAATTTTGCACTTACGACAATTGTTTTATCAACGTCTTCACAGCTAAAGTTTCCACGCACAGTTTTCGACGTTCTCGGAAAGTAGTTGACATTGGATAAACAAAACACACTCTGAGATTGTTTTAAAATTCGAAAAAATGTTTGTATCAATAGAGGAGACTTAATTCCACACATTTGTAACGTAAACAAAAAAAACATAATACTGAGTAGCAGCACTTGAAAAGAACCAAATTCGAATTTGCACAAAGTACCCCCGATGCATAAAGTAGCCCCACATGACGGTATTAATAAATTTTTTTTAAACAAAATTAATAATTAACTTATTTTTATGATGGAATAAAATACTAAATGTATTTTGCATATTACATTTGTTCTTGCTTTTAGTTTATAAGACATACTTAAATTAAATTGATGTCATTTTATTAAAAAAATACTTCGAAAAAATAAAGTCTTACTTACCAATTCTATTTCTAGATGTCAGTTGCTTAGTGGCTTACAGAAGTTACAGCTGCATAAGCAAACGAAAACAACATTTAAGCTATCTGCTACCTACAGAAATGTAAGTATTTTTCACAAACTTATAATCCAATGTCAGGAATGCGTTCCTGATTGGATAGCTAAAAAAAGAACATTTATTCTGAAGTACAATTGCTTGAAATCTTCCATTTACAGTATAGAATTTGATGTATACTGCCTGGTCGTTATTCGTCCGCATCAGACCCATTAAGCATTTTATTTGCACATAAAACTCACACCACCGATTTTATAATGAATGCGCACATTAAAAATTCATTCAATGATTTTAGTTGCTTTCAGAATTAATTTTTCGGGTATATAGCAAAATGCGTTATTTTTAATGTGCTATTTAATTTTCAAGCATATCTCTATTTTTTTTCTTTCAAATTAGAATATTCTAAAATAAAATGCAAACACGAACTTATAAAAATGAACTAAACAGTGTATTAAGAGTTATGTTAAATATATAAAAACAAAGTATGTCAACACTTTAATGGCAATTATTGACTTTAATCAAACATTATTTCATTATTTAATAGACTTAATTTTGCCCGATTTTCAACAAATTTCTTTGTTTGATTTACATATTTATTTTCTAAATATTGACTCTTCATTTTCTAATTAAATTATATTGAATTTTTTCTTCTTGAGACTTTTTTAGCATAAATTAATTTTAAATATCAATTGAAAATATTTTCGGCTCAAAAAGTATATGAGAATATTCAAAGCGAGAAGCGAAATGTGCAAAATATTTTCACTCAACCGAATGCATTTCATACACTAATATTTCAAACATTTCAAATAAATAATATTCCTATGGGATTTTTTGTTTTTAGTTTTACCATGAGTATTCTGTTCTGGTGTAAAATATTTAAATTAAAAAGAGCATAGAACAGTTTTAAGCGATTTTTATAAACCGTCGTAGAGGATTGTGCCTCATTTAATCCTGTAAATTAAATATATACTTTCATCTAGAGAAGAATTTAATTAAAGTCTAAAAAAATTTATAAAATAAAATAAAAATCTTGGATTAATATAACGAAAATCTTGGATTATTATGCCTTTTGGGTGCTTGTTTTCTTTACTCCTAGAGCCCCACGTCTCAAAGAATCCTCTGAGTTTTTTTTCCCCTTTCTTCACGGGTTTTACTTCAGACTCAAGACTTCAGACTTCAGTTTCTAGCAACATTTTTTCATTATACCTAAATTTTCTAATTCCAACTCGAGAAGTATTAGCAGCATTATAGATTAGCCAATACTCATTTCACCATTTATGTTTCATATAAAAGCTTATAAAAAGCCACACTAAAACACGACTAATTTTTCTTGCACTTTAAATTTCAACTCCAGAAATAAATCACGTGGGTGTGTTTTCTCTCCGGTAATCTTCATTTGATATTGCTTCCTCATTCACTTGATACATACAAAGTAATATTTCTGTTCAGATGTCAAATTTAAAAAAGAAAACAATGTTAGCAACAATGTACTTCGTTCTGTAAGATTTCGTTATTAGCGAAGAACATCAACTTCTTTTAAAAGAGTCTAAAAAATGTAGCTGGCTAAGAATTCGTGTTAAAAATAAAAAGAGTATCGATTATTTTCACTATAATGAGCATGCATTTAAAAGTATAAAAAAAATTCGATAAAAAATTCCATAAAAATTTATTTTCTCATCAAAAGGATTATGACCGTTGCCTTATAGAGATATTTAAAAAATAAATGAATTTCTGAAATATGCATAGTTTGATTAAAAGTTATGCAAGATGCTTTAATAGGAAAAAATTTTGAATTATGAATTTAAAATATTTCTAAAAAAAACAAAGTTCTATTTTAGACATACGCCAAGCTTATTTTATTCAATTCTAGTATAAATTTCGTTTGTATTATGCACTATGCTTTTCTGTGTTCTGAAGTAAATATTTTTCTAAACTTAATGAGATATGACTTATTATATAAAAAACAGGAACTGACCACGTTTGTTTTATTAACTTATTAATTTTTTTTCTCACTTAGAAGAAAATTTTTATATACTAAAATGGTAATTGGACATGCTGTTTAAAACACAATAGATATAATACATGAATTTTTCTAAAAACTACACAGCAAAATTCTTACCAGTTTTTAGTTATTATTTTCAATCGTGAATTAAATACGTTAAGAACGTATTTAATTCACAAGTGACTGTTAAATTCTGTTAAGAACGCTTTTCATGATTTGCTTATACACAGAATTTATGCCACTCTTTTTTTTTTTTTNTTTTTTTTTTTTTTTTTTTGGCAATAACTTCTCTTATTGACCAAATATAAAAATTACAGTTTTATAACCATTACTGTTTATTCTTTTCGAAATTTTTTATTAAAACTAAACACTGCAATTTCAGTGCATTGCATTATATCACGAAAATTAAAGAGTTTGCTCTAATTTTTTTATTAAACATTTTAGATAAAATGTAATGTCTTGGACAATTTAATTTAAGTTTGTTAACACAATGAATTTTCCTTTTAGTCTTAAAAAAATACTCCTTATCTAAAGTTTACAGATTTTCCGTAGCCTGAAAAAAATAATATTTTGAAATTTTGACTGACTTATATTGTGCCAAACAAAGATTGATTTTGAAGTCCAACTTCATGAAAATATTCAAAGGAAAGACATTTTTTCTTTTAAATATAATCTTCTAAATTTTGTTTTAAATACAGTACATCAAAACAAGAAAAGTTAAATACTTAAATATTTTATATAAATACTGGGAACACCGTTACATTAACACTTTGACATTACTTTGTAGCTCAGCTATTAACGCTTTGCTCGATCAATCATTTAATAATTCTTGTTTATAACTTTGCTGTTTATAAATAATTTATTAGTGTTAACAAAAATGTTCTTCTTATATTTTTAAATTTGAAAACGGCATTTAAAAACGTTTATTAAACATTAGTTTGTTATTACCTAACTTGATTATTACACATCTTAATTTATTATCGCCCTCTTAAATTGTTCATTAAAATACTTTGATATTAATAAACGGATCTTTCTCCATTAAAATAATTATAAACTAAAACAATGGATTAGTTCGATAAAAATTTGAATTATAAAAATTACCTTAAAATATCCTTTTCTGAAGCTTTTTGAATTTTAATAAATTAAATTTATATCTAAAATTTTCTATTATTGCTTTATCAAAAAAAATTAGTTACACGCTGAACGAGGACATTAGTACTTTAAACTACAATATATTAAGTTCCTGCAACCTAAATAAGTGGTTAAATTGAACTATGATTCACTAAAGGTTGAGTCATAGAAACGTAGTTCAAGTTTAAAAATAATTAGTTTAGATTTCTGAATAATTAGCTTAGGAAATTGCGACATAACGTGCTTTAATTTAATACCGTATTTAGGCTGCAACCAAACTGGGTGACATTATGAGTCAAAGTGCACAGAAACGTTTAACAGTTTACTCAAGATTTTTAAATGGTGGCAAGAACAAGCATTGGAAGTAGAGTCAAAGTATGTTTTACTAAATGGTGCCTATTTTTAGTAAATGACACATTAAATTTTTTTAATATTATTTTATATCTTTTGAATTATATTTTAAATCAATGGGAAAAGAGCCACTAAGTACAATTTGCATCTCAGAAGACCCATTCAAAATTTGTGAAAGCTCATTCTATACGTTAGTTTTTCTATACATGACTGTAAAATAATGTTAATTTTTCTTCATTTTCACCCGACCTTGTAATCATAATAAATAGGAGCATTACTGGCAACATAGGAATCAAAATTTTATATTTTATACTTTATAACTGTCGTTTTCTTTTTTTTTTCTCTTTTTTTTTTTTTTTTTANTTTTTTTTTTTTTTTTTTTTTTTTTTTTTTTTTTTTTTTTTTTTTTTTTTTTGAACAGCTGACGCAATTTTGGATTTAAGACTACCAATGTTCAGCCCCGTAACCTTGTAATTTTGAACCCAATTCTGAAGACAGGGGAACTCCTGGATCAAGTATTAGGAGAAATTTGCCTTTGTGGAGGTCTTTTTTTTTTTAACGAACTAACCTGCATTTGCGTTACATGGAGAGAAAAATATCGAAAACCACCAAAAATTAGATTAATGGCAAAGGCATCTTAATCCATAATTCCTCTACCAGTGGGAATATTTTATGTCAGTGTGGTTGGTGTGTTTCGGCGCGGAAATAGTATCGACCAGCCATTGCTGGTATTTGAACCCGGCTCACCTTAATGGAAGATGAACGCTTTATCCCCTGAGTCACCAGAGCTCAAGGATCGAAAGTGAACAATCTGACTGCATTTGAAATAAAATTGCAAATAGCATTGGCTTAATTATTTCAATAAAAATAATCAAGTATTATTGATAAGCAATAGTGTATATTTCTAGAAATTTTTAAGCATGGTGAACCATCATATCATTCAACCGCTAAATGGCTCACATTTGCACCATTTTATCCTACTTTTTAAACTTTAACTGCACGAAACAATGGTTTAAATTGAACAGGGATAATGTTCACTTTAATACCCAATTACAGTTGCTTTCACGATATTAGAAGAATTTTGCATTGAGTAACAGTTATATGTAACCTAATGAAAATTTCTGACAATCAATTAAGTGTAAAAAATAAGATTTGTGTAGAAGCTAAAGCGTAGACTGTTAATGCTAAATGCTGTATGAAATCTCTTTGTTTTAACATTGAGCCAAATATAATATAAGAGCTTATTGTATAAAATGTATTTGTATATATACTATAAATACATTTTAAAAAGCATATAACGGTATCTTTAAATGTTTTGAACAAAAGCCTTTACGAAAACTCAAAAACTCTGTACACTCTGATTTTTATCAATATTAACTTGTTTCCGTTTTTTTTTTTTTTTTTTTTTTTTTTGTTGGCAACATTGGTAATTTTAAGAATGGAAATCATAGCTTTAATTTATATAGATGATAAGACGCCTTTAAGCAGTACAAAAAAAACTTCTATATCAAACATTGAAAGAAGTTATCATGTCTTTTTGAAATTGTACAAGGGAGTAACATGGAC